CAACTTGCCAACGCCCTCCAATGACCCTTCAGCCGATCCATATTCACCGCGACGTAATACGCAGACTTAACCGAGAAAAGGCCATCCGGGGGTCGAATGCCAAATCAATTTATCCTCAATATCCTGCCGCGGCAACGGAATGGCCTTAATGGCTTTACAGGTCGCCGGGTCAAACCATTGACTAAGTTTTTGCTCATTCCATCGACCCTCTCCACGCTGGATCACCTCCTCCACCCTCAAACCCTCCCCATCAGGAACCACGCACGGGTTTTAGACTGGGAGCCGGGGATGTTGCGAAGGTATCCAACTGGACGTAAGCAGAAGAGCCTTTTGGCCATTCCCAATTTGCCAACACAACCCTGACTCCAACAATTGTCGACCATAGAGGATACTTTGCCATCCCCACGACGGACGAGACCGGGCCTGAGCAGACAGAAACGACCCATTCGGGAAATATTTCCCTTTGTACACCTGGGCCAGAAGGGACTGGGGTTCCGTAAGGATACGCCAACCAATTTTAGCAAGCAACGCTTGATTGAAAAGCTCAAATCAGCGAAACCCCATGCCCCCTTCATGCTTACTTTTACACATGTTTCTCCAAGAAGTCCAACGAATCTTAGATTTCCCCTCTTCCACCCCCCACCAAAAACGGGCTATATGCTTATCAAGAAGGCGACACAGCGCCAGGGGAAGTTTAAAGCATGACATAACATGCAGAGGCAGGGCTAATGCTACAGATTTAATCAATGTTTCCTTAGCAGCCCATGACAGTGTTCGCCGCTTCCACCCCTGCAATCGAGCCAGAAGTTTCTCCTCCAGATAGCGAAAAGTAGCCATCTTTGACCGGGCTATCAGAGAAGGAAGGCCCAAATACTTGTCATGGACTCCCACTGCCCCTACTCCCAATATTTCCCCCAAGAATTCCTGGTCCGGCACCGCAATATTTTTACTATAGCACACAGCCGACTTGTCAAGATTCACTCTCTGCCCACTCAACTCCTCGTACTCATTAAGAACCTCGATCAAGTGAGAGATACGAGGCGCACGGGGGGCCACCTTAACCCCTTGTAATTTCCCAACCGAAATGGCTTGACGAAGGAGAGCCGCGAACCCTTCCGTGCAAATGACAAACAGAAGGGGAGAAAGCGGATCACCCTGCCTGAGCCCTCTAGTGGAGGAAAAAAACCCAGCTGAGGTCCCATTCATTAAGACCGAGAATGACGTAGATTGGAGGCATTCCTGAACCCATCCTCTCCAGATCGAGTTAAATCCCATTTTTTCCAAAACCCCTAAGAGAAAGGGTCATTCGACTCTATCATAGGCCTTCTCCATATCAACCTTCAGAGCCATATATCCCTTCTTCCCTCGGGTTTTGATTTTCAGGTAATGCATTAACTCATGCCCTAAGAGAATGTTATCCACAATCTGCCTCTCCCGAATAAAAGCATTCTGACCATCAAAAATAATTTGCGGCAATATACCAGCAAGCCTTCCTGCCATGATCTTAGTAATCACCTTATACACAAACTGGCAGAGACTAATCGGACGCAACTGCCGCATAGATTCGACTTGGTCCACCTTCGGAATCAAAGTCAACCAAGTATGATTAAAGCTGCGAAGCATCCTACTGGTTTCAAAAAACGAGCTCACCGCTTGGATCACTGAGTCCCCAACTATATCCCAAAAGGCTTTGAAGAACTTCCCCGTAAACTCATCCGACCCTGGCGCCTGTTTGGATCCCATAGAGAATACAGTTTCCCGTATTTCTGTAGGGAGAACTTCAGCAGTCAGGGTCTCATTCATATACGGAGTAACACAGGGGTCAATGGGAAGAGCAGCCACTCTCTCACTCATGTTCACCACCACGTTTTCCGAAGTGAATAGAGTCCGGTAAAAATCGGTGGCAAGTTCAGCCTTACCGTGTTCCTCCGTGATCCACTCACCATCCTCATTGTAAAGACCAGCCACAAAATTCCGCTTTCGCCGAGCCCTAGTGACCGTATGGAAATAGGCTGAATTTTTATCTCCCTTTTTAAGCCAAGTAACACGGGATTTTTGCTGCCAGTAAACTTCCTCAGCCTCCCATTGTCTACTCAGTTCAGTCTCTAACCTAGTCACCTCTTCCCAGTCAATAGGGTGGAAGGCTTTTAGCCGATCAATTTCGCCTTGCAAGGTGTGAATATTTCTCAGAGAATTAGTGGTTCCCGCTCTGCTCCAATCATACAGCAAATGACGCAATTTTTTCAGCTTTTCCCATAGCTGGAACATTGGGGTACCAGAAATATTTTCTTGCCAAACGTAAGCGACCATAGCCTTGACTTCAGGATTAGAAGCCCACCGCGCATCGAATCGAAAAAGAGGGCGGCAACTTCGCGTATAGGGCTTATCAGAGAGGAGCAGGGCTCTATGATCAGAACCCTGGTCCGTGAAGTGCTTGACAAGAGTTTCTGGATACCGATCTATCCAACTTTGCGAGCAGAGGGCTCTGTCAAGTCTTGCACGAATATAGGCCAAACCCATACGTTTATTAGTCCAAGTGTAAGGGTCCCCCTGAAACCCAGGATCATGCAACCCTACCATTTGAATAAGGTTTCGAAGATCCAAGGATTGACTAGCATTCCAAGGATTTCCCCCATCTTTTTCATTTTCGCAAAGGGTAGCGTTAAAGTCTCCTAGAATCACAAAGGGAACAGTAAGGCCCTCACAAATCTCGCGCAACTGGGTCAATTGTATGGCTCGTCTCGCAATATTGCAGCTCAAATACACGCAGACAGCAACATAAGAAAATCCGAGAGTTAGACTAGGATGACAATTCGAATCTTTCTTGTCGGGTAATATCCACTCTAATTCACAATGAGACAGATATTATCCAATTTATAGTATTGTAAGGTGTAGTGGCGGAGGCAGCATTTCAAATCACCCATGTACTCTTTTCATAACTTAAATATATAAGTATCTAATAAAATAATTATTTAATAGAAATAATAACAAATAATTATATCCAAATAATTCATTCATAAATTAAAAATTATACTATCATACTTTTCAGAAACAACTATGAAGGAATTTCATATAGTGAAAGAAACGCAAAAACATTCGTTGTCTACACTATTATATAAGTCTCTTTCAATGTATCTTACTAAACAAGTATTAGCAAATTGGTCGCCAAATCGGCTTGGAAACTTGTTCTTAATATAACTAAAAAATGCTCTTTTTACAATTGCAGTTGTAATTGGTAGACCAAAACTAGTGGGATTGTCGTTGTCGCTAGACAATTTCAGGGTTGTTTGTGAAAGATCGAATAGGCATAAGGAGAAAAGAGACCCAATTATGTCTTTTTATTGCAATTGGAATTTCGTTTATAGTTTAATAAATTAATTTTATGTCAATTTTGGACAAGTAATGAATTGTGTTGTAGTGACAAAGTACTCTAATACTACCTATACGTGTTGTGTTCCATCACCTATATAAATATATATGGCGTATTTTTGTTCCACGAAAAATTTACCACTGTCCCGGGACAAGGTCAAAAGGGCCTGTCTCTGCCACTGGTAGGGTGGGACGTGGGTATTTACTTTCGACCCGTCCTGCCCCATACTACGTTGTTGGTTCATTATATCTTAATTTCTTATAATATCTATTTATATTTCTCCTGTTTTGACTTTTCTTCAACTAGTTAGACTTGATCTTTTAATTAGGTAGACTAAATTGATGAATTAGATTTATGAAAGATCTTATTCAAACTTATATAAATTGAAACAGTTTGATGAAGGAAGAAGAAAAGAAGTCACAACTAACTTGCTCACACCTAATTAATACAAGAAACTACTTGATTTACGAGACATGAGACTAATTTGAAGATGCATGGAAAGAAATATGATAAGTAGTAAAGAGGAAATGTCTGTTAGCTTTTCTCTTGCCCTCCCACCATCCTTAAAAAAATAATTTTTACATCCTTTTAGATTTTAATCATAACCTTACTCTTTAAATTTTAACCACTCCACTTTTATGAATTATTACCTTAAGTTTCAAAGTCTTGAATTATAATTCTATCTTTATGGTCTTATCATGAGAATGAATGATAAAATGGACAATTGAGACCTTCCACCCCATCCATAACCACACCTACCTGCCATTCTTCTAACTTCAGCAAAACTCCACCACCTTAAGTTACTATAAAAACACTGCATGAGTCCTTTAACAACTCATATTTAGAAGCATCATTACAACAAAAGGAAACAACCCCTCTATTTTGCTTCAACAACAGCTAAGTTAGAGACCTTTGAGTCCGAAACAAGAAACCCAAAAGGCCAACAAGACTCCCAAAATCCTTGGTCTTACCAAACTTCAATTTGGACATAGAAACAAGAGATAGATTCCTCTGTTGATTTAAAACCCCAGTCAAATAACAATGGAAATATCTAGGTACACCAATCTTTAACTAACATAATCTCAACCAACCCACCATCCCTTTTCTGCTTCCATTCCAATGAAAATGCCATTTGAACTAGTAATTTAAGTAGCAATTAGACCAGAAGAAGGATGTAAGGTTAAATAGTTGAGCCTCTAAACTAAGCATGGTCAAACACAAGGGCAGTTGGCAAGGAGATTCTTGACATATCCAAACTACAAAATGCTACCTCCTGCAGATGCCATTTCGTACGATCGAAAGAACGAAAAAGTGTAGCAAGAAATGAACATCATATGGTACATGAAAGCCACTGGATTGGATTGCATGAAGCCATGAACACCATCACAATCAAAATTACAGGCAGGAAATCAGCATTCAGAAACTCTCGCAAGGAGAGAAACTAACAGTAATGAAGTTACCTGCCTGCTCGAATGATCGACCCCAAAAGGAAGAAAAAACAATTAGATCAAAAACAACATTGCAAAACTAAAAGAGATTCCGTTTCCTAAGGCCTCACTTTGTATCTTCATCCGCCAGAGTTAAAACCGAGACCTATATTGACACAAGACTATCATTCACTGGGGCCCTGTCACTTGCATTCGACGCCTGCCTCAGCAGCTCGTCGAGGCTTGTTCTTCCGCCTGCTCCCGTTTTGCCTAAACCCGTTAGACTTGATTGGGTCATTGGTAATTGCTACTACCCCATTCTCTTCCTTCATTACCGAATCAGGCTGTTTTTCCTTAGCCTGTTGCTGCAGCTGAGAGTTGCGTCTCCTCTTCTTCCCATTCTCTGATGCAGTTGGACTTTTCGCCTCTTTGCTAGCAGAGTTATTCATCACCTTCCCATTCTCCACAACATCTTCCTCCTCAATCATTTTCTCCATTTCTTCTTCATCGAACTCATCTTTCAATGGCTTTTGTGGTCTCCCTCTTCTCTTCTGTGCAGGAATCTTCTCTTCTTCGCCACTACCAGTATCGTCGTGATTGCTCACAGTCAACCTCTTTCCTTTTCCCCTACCTCTACCCATAAGTTTCTTACTATCTTTCAACAATTAGAAAGCTCATACAAACGAAGAACTCCCCTGCAAAGCCAGCGATAAGATGGTCATTACTAATTCGATTCCAATGTTGCCACAGATATCGATCCTCTTACACCTACATTCCATGCAAAGTCAAGCTAGCCAAGATCATCAATTTCACAGTTATGCAAGGAAGCCAATAGAAAAGATGGAAACTTAACTCTATCAGGTCACATTATCCAAAGAGGCCAACTTCAAAGTTCAGATGGAACTGATAAAACATCAATGCATGATCTATGTAACTCGAAGCAATATTAACATAAGCCAAGTCTCAGTCTTGCCAAGACTCAGAAGAAAAAGGCAAGCTTTGGTTTATGGATTATATCATAGCATACAGAACAAGACTGCCTGCTTCTCACCAAGTCCCAACTAATGAACTTTTCCTCATATTTTTCAGCAGCAAAAGAAAACTTGCTTCTGTGTAGACCAAATCAGAAGATTCTATAAGCATGCAAGAGTGACATAAGAAGGTAATGGCAGAGATCCACCAAAGAGAACTGATATAAGCATGGGGTTTCCAATTTGCAGGAAAAAGAGATTGAATCAAGAGAGAAAGACATAACAAACAAATAGCACAACTGCACAATTACCCAATTCAATATCTGGGAACCATAAAATCCTAGGGGTTTATAGAACCCCCAAATAGAAAATAAGATCCACAGAAATCATTAAAAGAAAACTTCAGTTCATCAACACAGAACTTGGAAGGAACAGAAATGAAAACCAAGTGAGCTTCGAGACTGAAGATAAGGAAATGCAAAATATGCCACAAAGCAACAAACTTTCTTCTATCTCCCTTCAAAACAAGTTTCAGAGAAGGGGAAACCCAAACCTGATATTGAAGGAAGATTATTTGCATACTGAGCTGGACGCCCATTCTTTGAATCTGCAGAAGAGAAGTGAAAAACGACCAAGACCCAGGTGGATTCTCCCCAAAAATCAATGATCTAAGAAGAAACAGTCGGTACCCAGATCAAAAAACACTGAGATTCGATTATGCGTTGAGGATTTTGCATTGACGGCACAAGCAAAGACCAGAGAGTGTGGGAGAAGAGAAGAAGAAGAAACAAAGAAAGAAAGATACCAGCAGAGGAAATAAGCAAAAGGGTACAGAGGCAAAAAAGAGGAAGAGAGAAAGAATAGAGATAAATGTTGGATTGGTTTTCTCTTATGCAGCAGAGAATGGCTTGGCTGCTGTGTTTGTGTCGCCTCTCTGCGCTTACTGTGTATTTTTCAGATTGCAATGTAATCTGAAAATGATGCTAGTGAGGTTTGTTGCGAGGCTTGAGATTGGGTGGCAACATGTGTAATTAAGGCGGTATTCAGGGGGTATGTGGATTGTGGTGTAGAAACGGGAAGTCTAGTAGTGTGTCAGTAAGTAGACATTTGCTCATGTGTGGTGTTTTGTACTTTACCATATGCCACTCTGTAAAATTGGCAATTAGTAAATTTTTCTAACCAACCTAAAATTATTCATACGTATTCTTTTAACATGAAAAAAAAATTATTGTTCAAATTTTTTTGAATTGAAATTACGCGATGAATGAATCAAGAATATAAATTCTTCTAATACGATGTATAGGTTTTAAACTCAACAAAGATATGATAGCGAAGATCATAAATTAATAATGCTATATGTGAATGTTGACTATATTCGTCATTCTCTTAGACCATGGGAACATTACTCCCCACTGAATATGGAGATAATTTTCTTGAAATTGAAGGATTGGCTCATCCTAAATATAAAAGATAATTGTCATTGTGAATTAGTGAAATGGATGTTATTGTGGGATGATATATATGATAAAATTTGAACTCTACCCCGAACTTCAATTTAAAGTCCAAATATAATGACAAATTAGTATGATCATCCATATAATTATTGGAAGGAGAGACGAAGCACTAACAAGAACGATGAAACTCCCCATATTACAAATTCAAAAGAATTTTGTTTATCCTATAGAGGTTGTTCGAACTTCATGAATGAAACTGAAAATTTTGCGATCATGAATGTCTATTCTCTCGATCATAAAAAAACAATGAAGTAATTTCATTTATTTTCAAACACAAAGACAAAATCATTAAAATATGAGGAATATAGTATAAACCTCGAAGAGAAAAAAAGTGCGAAATAATTGACTCAGAAGTTTCATTCTCTACCATTATAATAACTCCTAAAACAATCCAATCTCTCTCCAAAAGGCTACAAAACCAAACTACGAAGAGGACGACTCTATAGCTTGTGAAAATAGAAATCGTTGCTGCCAGAAAACCCAAAGAAAATATAAGATTGGGAGATTAAAAAAAAAAGAAGTAAAGATTGGGAGTTTTAGCCACAGAAGAAACAACAAAATTAAGAACTTTGGGAGTTAGTAAGGAATAAATATATTAGGTGGGGGACCAAAGTGTTTATAGAGCAAAAGTAAAGGGGTTGGTTGATTTATGGGCTTTTATTGGGCAGGACCAGAGTGCACTTGTTCCAGAACTTCCCTCCAGTTAGTGATGGACTGTCAATCAAAGCCTGCCAGTTTGAAATAGTTGCCAATAAGATTAGTGGTCTCTAACTTTTGGGCATTGTGAATTTTCAAATTGATGTATTAAGTTAATTAGTATATTATCCTTTTATATATTGAATTAAATATACTATTTGAAATTCCAACTTTCCTGATGATCTCTGAAAATTCAGTCATTCAACCAAACTTGAAATAGGCTACTTACCATTGTGGAGACATCTTAGGATGTGCACTAAGAAAAATGTTCAAGATTAATGGAGCATATGCACTTGAATGCATTTCATTGTATTGTTATTTGCTTGAATGTTACTTAATGATCAAGCAGGTTGCCTGTTTTTTTAATTTGTGTTTCTCAACTATTTGTTCATATTAATTTTGTAATTTCTTTCATAAATACTTTGCAACGTACCAACTAGCAACATTCAACTTGTTTATGATATTCACGCAAAACCCAAGCACCCATTTGTTTAACAATGTACATTCATATTTTTTTCATTATAAAATAGTAATCGGTGAGTTTGTTTTAAATTAGTGTAACAACTATTTATTAATAAAAAAAAGATAACTCGATGATTTGGACTGAACAACCAGCAAATTGTCTAAACCATTCAGGATCAACGCCATTCATTTCGAAGTTCCTTCGACAACAAACCAGCTCTAGCAGCACAACCCCGAAGCTGTAAGTATCGACCTTTGTGGGCTCTAGCAGCACAACCCCGAAGCTGTAAGTATCGACCTTTGTGGTGATCGCCACGCTCCTAAACAATTCCGGAGCCACGTACCCTTTGGTTCCCCTGACAAAAATGCATAAATTGATATGAGTCTGAACTTCATTACATATAATTTTTTTTATGAAACTAAAGGGATGTGCATTTACATGTTGATTTTTCTTCAAATAATTATCAGTGATGTTGAAGTGCTTAGTTTGGTTGCAAATTGCAATTGGCCCCAGCTAAACCTTGAAATCAAATATGATTACTTGTCTACTTGACCAAACCAACCGAAACTATTCTGGTTAACTGGTTGGCCAATGTAAGCTAATTCAGAGTTCAAGAAAAGCTCGTAAGCATGCATCACATTACTTTATTGTTCATCAATCATCAACACTATGAATAAAGTTATCGACCAGTTCAATCAGCAAAGACTACAGCCAAACAAAACTAGTTAAATCACATCTGACTGCAAATCTCTATCAAACCAGACCAACCAATCAAATTAACCAAACAATCCCATACCTGATAGCTGTTGTGGTTCGGGTTTGATTCACCTTCATAAGGTTGGTCAATCCGAAATCTGAGATTCTCGCAATCATCGACTCGTCCAAGAGAATATTATGTGGCTTGATATCACAATGGATGATCTGGGTGCTGCACTCCTCGTGAAGGTAAACCAGCCCTTTCGCAACTGCATAAACTATTTCCATCCTCTTGCACCAACTAGGCCTTGTGTCTCCTTTGAACAGCAAGCTAGCTAACGACCCATTGCTCATGTACTCATAAACCAGAAGCCGATGGTTCTGACCCTCTGTGCACAGTCCCACGAGCTTCACCAGGTTCCGGTGGTTCGTCCCAGCGATGACTTTGACCTCCGTGGTGAACTCCCGATCATCAATTTCACCTTCACCCCCCATCTTGTCCATTTTCTTAACTGCAACATTAATTTTTTCTTCTGCAAGAAACCCCTTGTAAACAGTTGCTGAGGCTCCACGTCCCAGCACCTCCTTGAACCCTCCAGTCGCTGATTCTAGCTCGCCGTACGAAAAGCTCACCAGATTCACCGATGATGCAATACCCGGGTGCAGTTGTTGGCCCCTTCGATTGTTCCTCCTCCACCATGAAAAGAAAAGAAGAGTCGTCGACAGGGGTCCTGGCTTTGCTTTTAAGGAACTCCAACGGGGTTCCTGGCTTCCTGCAATTCAACCCCCATGTCAGTATCAGCTTCATGTCAATTGCAGGGGGTAAAAAAGGCGAACACACTCGATAGTAAGCTCTATTTTTTTTCAATGAAATTTTACAACAGGAAAAATGATAAAAGGTCAACTTTACTGAGAAGAAGACTTCAAATGTACATGACATCTTCAAATGTAAACTGACTGTCTGCTGATCGAATTAACCTCTAACCAAACCATTGGGACTAACTGCTAACTAACTCTCAGCCATTTTAACCCCACTTCCAATAAGTCTTCCACTGTTTGGTCCAGTAATGAATATATGTATGCCATCATCCATGCAAACTGATTAGCTAGTGCCATTTGAGGCGAATAGTTTACTTTTATGTCTCATATTGACTGACCAATTCTGCGTAATTTAGCTCACGAGTAGGAATAATATACCCCAAGTCAAGGCCATACAGATGCAATTTGTTCCAAATTAACCAGACAAGGTGTCATGAAGCAGAATTAAAGAAGGCAAGAGAGATGTTCTGGATGCAGAAAATTAGATGGAATAGATATGCTCACTTGAAAATGGAGAATGCTCATTGATTCGCATGGAGCCCTAAGTTAGTTGAACCTTCCTTCCCTGTCTGGTAGCCTACTCGATCAACAATTGGTTCAGTGAAACAGTGAAGCCATCGACATCCAATCTGGGATATATCTATTTGATTGAACCCACTTGCAGTTGCATTATGCTATGGGAAGTACCCCCACCAAGTTAGCCAAATGAGGATTGAAAAGATTCAATCAGTTTTGAATTCGTCAAAATGTGCTCCGACTTCGATATCAACATGGCAACATCGACTGTAACAAAAATTATTTATAATCCCTGCCAAACATCACTCTCAAAGAAAAAGAAAAAAAACTTCGGCACTTAAAGAAAATCATCGCAGGTCAAGGCTTCTTTTAGCAAATTCTATTCAAATAATCAGAGACAAAAGAAAAGTGAAATGGGCAAGAGAGTCACCTTCTGAATGTAGAATGACAAAGCTATGCTCACTTGAGAACGGAGAGTGCTCATTGATTACCATGGATACCTCGCAGTACTGAACCTTCCTTTTCCCTGCTTACTTTGTCCATAATAAATTTAGTACGGTCTCATTTTTCATAAACAGTGAAGTCATTCATCGTACTGATTCATTTCTTTTCCAAACGAAATTACAGTTCAACAAAGACAAACAAAACTCTTAAACCGAGTTTTGGAAATTCAAAGACTAAACTGAAGGATACAACATATTAAACAGTGTTGATATATGATGCAGGACTTGGAGGAACAGAGACCTCGACAGCTCCTTCTAACATATGAACCACTTTCTTCATCTCAGGTCTCAAACACGGATCCTCCTGAACACACCACAGCCCAATCTTCACAAACCTCTCTACTTTAACCAAATCTTTCATTGCCTCTTCATCCTTCTCCACCAACCTTCCAACCATCCTATCACCATAACACTCGTGAGCCCAATCCACAAGCACCATCTCCTCTTCCTCATAACCCTCCATCTCAAACCCCCTCCTGCAACAGACGAGCTCCAACAACACAACCCCAAAGCTGTACACATCGACCTTTGTGGTGATCGCCATGTTCCTGAACCATTCAGGAGCCACATAGCCTTTGGTTCCGCGAATAGCAGTCATGGTCCGGGTCTGCTCCACCTTCAGAAGCTTGGCCAGCCCGAAGTCCGAGATTTTAGCAGTCAAAGACTCATCAAGGAGAATGTTCTGTGGCTTGATGTCGCAGTGGATGATCTGGGTGCTGCATTCTTCATGGAGGTAGACCAGGCCTCTGGCGACTGAGATGGCAATTTGGGCCCTTGTGTACCAATTAGGCCTCGGATCTGCTTTGAACAGCAAGCTGGCTAAGGAGCCATTGCTCATGTACTCATAAACCAGAAGGTGGTTTTTGCCTTCGCTGCAGACTCCCACGAGTTTCACTAGATTCTTATGGTTCGTTCCAGCTATGACTTTGACTTCCGTGGTGAATTCTCGATTATCGTCTTCCCCTTCCTCTACACCCCACAACTTGTCCATCTTTTTCACTGCAATGGTAATTGTTTCTCCCACGTTCTGAAGAATCCCTTTGTAAACTGTTGCAGAAGCGCCACGACCCAGAACCTCCTTGAACCCTCCTGTTGCTGATTCTAGCTGGCTGTATGAAAAGCTCAGCAGATTCACAGAGGAAGTTGGGTGAAGTTGTCCTCGTTTGTTGTTCCTCCTCCACCATGAAAAGAAAAGTAGGGTTGTCGACAGTAAGAGCAGATTAAGGAAGACTGAACTTCCTATAAGCAGCCCTCCAGTAAGTTTCAGACTTGATTCATCTTTCTTCCTTGGATACGCAAGTGATGAAGAGTTAGATCTCCCTACTTTGATCAGGGCTTTGACTGATGCACCTTCTTCCATTCTCCCATTGGTTAGAGGCATCCTCTTCTTCCAGCAAAATCCACCGAAGAAAATCGCCACGTCGCACAAGCAATCACTGAGACAAGCCTGTCGGCACATACCTTCCGTCTGTGATTCCAGCTGGTCGTAGAAAAAATCTGGCCAGTTTGTACTGGGTATCTCCATGATATCAAACTGATCATCACCGCTTCCGTTTGATTCTGCACGACAGTCGTGAGATGCAAAGTTCTTCATGCAGCCTTTGCTCTCATCAGAGGGATCCATAAACACATACCTAGGAGGGCACTTGCAGCTGGGACTAGCAGCATTCTCTTCTCGACCACTCTCCATGTGGCAGTAACTGTTAACCCCGCAGGCTCCGCCACCAAAGAGTCCTCTGACGCTCGTGCATATATTTGGCGGTTGGATAGCTTGTGTGTTCCATCTCATTGCCCATCCGCTTCCCCCAGAAGAGGTATTACTCTTGGGGTACAAGTATTTCCTGAACACACCATCGAAATCCATGGTCGCCCTTTGGAAGAAATCCTGCGTTGATTCTCCATCTGTACCGAGTGGGTAGCTAAGCACGGTTTCATTCTTTGCCATCAAGTAGACTAACCCAGACTGGTTGAACATCACTCTGTAGCCTTGAGGAAGAGTCTCGGTCGACCAGTAAGAATAGGCTTCCTTTTCTTGAGGATATGCTGTGGTGTACATCATCAAGTTGCCATCAGTATGCAGGATCAACTTGAACCTTCCGCTCGAGTGATTTGACCTGGAATACTTGGAAATCAGTTCCCCACCTTGATTCAGTGTCTGGGTGGGTAACAATGTATCGGTCGGCTGATCAAAACTGCCCCATAAATTGGAAGAGTTGCTATCTGCCAGCACAAAGTTTCCAGTATCGAGCATGGCTGCATGAGAAACTCCAGTTCTAACAGAGTTGGCAGTCCAAATAGATCTTCCAGATGGGTCAGTGAGAACCAATAGGCCATCCGAGGTGAGCTGAACCCTGGATCCGGTTGGAACAGGGTTGTTCCGGTTTGCAGACCATACGATGGTTTGCTCCGGGATTCGGTTGAACCATATTGCAAGCAGGAATAAGGCCTGGATGTTGATTCGTTGGAACCCGAAGGCGAAATCGCCAGATGGGGATAGCCAGGAGGCGTTTGATGTTGTGGTGAGGAAGGAGCCGAGTGATATGTTGGTGCTGGTAGGTTGTGAGTCGGCCGGGAATGGCAGCAATAGGAGGAGGAAGAAGGAGAATGTGCAGTGGAGTTTCAACAGAGAAGACATTGCTGAGAAATGCCAATGTTTTGGTTAAGAAGCGGCTTTGCTTTTTAAGAACTCCAACTGGATTCCTGAAATTCAACGCCCATGTCAGTATCAGCCTCATGCAAATTGCAGGCGGTGAAAGGGAAAGAATCCAATCCAATGATAAGTTTTTTCCAATGAAATTAGTTAACAGGAAAAATGATAAAAGATCGAGAAAACTTCAAATGTACACGACATCTTCATACGTAAACTGACCGTCTGCTGATCTAATTAACCTCTAACTAAACCCATTGTTACTTTTATGTTTCACACTGACTGAGCCAATTCTGTCCTACTTTAGCTGAGGATGAATAAACTTATCATAACAAGGTTAATAGTTACACTCATCTTCAATAATATGTCCCAAGTAAAGGCTATACAGATTGCAATTTATTGCAAACTAACCAGATGAGATGCCATGAAGCAGAATTAAAGAATGTAAGAGAGATGTTCTGGATGAAGATAATTAGACGGGATAGATATGCTCACTTGAAAATGGAGACTGCTCACTGATTGGCATGGAGCCCAAGGTTAGTTGAACCCACTTGCAGTTGCATGCTGCTATGAGAAGTACCCCTCCACCAAGTTAGTCTAACGAGGAATGGAAAGATTCAAGCAGTTTTGAATTCGTCAAGTGCTCCTACTTCGATACCAATGGCAACATCTACTGTAACAGAAGTTATTTATAATCCCCGCCTAACATCAGTGGATTGACTGAGAAGTCATTGTTGAAAAGACCGAGTATTTAAAAGCATAGCCGCTTCTTAAACCAGAACATGGTGGATATATATGGGTAACAATGCTGCTACCTTTTGTAGCCCTTGTAGCAAGTTCAAAACTCATATGTGAGCCCCAAATGCAATAAATCGCAGACAAGTAAGGAGTTAGCCCAGGCTCTCATCAAGTCATTTGCAGGTTGTTTGAACGAGTCCAAATCATCTCCATGCAAATTGCACTGACAGAACAGGAAGTTCTCCCACCAAGTATTGGAACGACTTTGGGCAAGCAACCTATGTTCGGCTGATAGCTCCCAGTCAGCCTAATCTAGCATCACGAATGCATTAGATAAATTTTGACCAGGCTACTTGCAGTCCGTCCCAACTACCCAGACAAAAACAGTGAAATGTCATTAAGGCTGAAGCATTACTAAAGAGGGGAAGAGAGAGACCATCTGAATATAGATCGAATAGCGCCTATACTCAGTACCCAGTACTCACTTGAAAATGGAGACGTTCACTGAATGGCAATGCTGAACTTTCCTCCCCTGCCTACTTGGACTACGATCAATTAATACCGTCTGGGTCGTTCATAAAGAGGGGGGGATCAGCGCAACAGTGAAGCCATCGACATGTAGTTTGAGATATAGATTGAACCCACTTGCTCAAACACCGTGGCAATCCACGTAGATATACGCCTCCGTTTTTGTCTCCTGGCCCATGCATCATGCCTCTGAGGACTTTCGTCGAACACCTTCAGTGCCACCACCATCATCCCTAACTTTTACCGGGCAGGGCGGGTTTGAGATAGAAATAAAGACCACAGCATGAGGCAGAAGGATTCTAGAGGTTGATGTCGTACATGGTGATCGCCTTCTTTCTTGATCGTTCATGGTTGCAGGAATCGAAGAAGAATTTGGACGCCCGCGCGCGGAGGAAAGAGGTAGCTGTGGCCTGTGGTGGGTTCTAATTTCCCCCATCGGTTTCACGCGGCCGGTTCAAGTTATTACTTGCCCGCTGCCGCATAAAGGTCCAAATGTGTGGCAAAACTAAATAATCCCACGGAACATAATTATAGAAACATGAAATCAATAGGGCAAAGATAGGATTATGGATGGTTGAGCTGGAGCATATAGATTTCCACACTTGATAATGTTACTTTGACATATTGTATTTGAATTTTGGGTACATGATCTCATATCTTTGTAGAACCACATGAAGCACTATTAGTTATCGGATGGGATGATAGAATTTACTAACAGAGATAGAAATTCGCTTGTGAAGAGGCCAATAAGACGATACTCTAGAGATTTAAACTCTGATGACCAAATAAACAGGGACGCCAAAGCCTTACTAAGTATGTATTTTATTTATCGTATTTATGTTCAAAATATAATTTAAAATGCTGAAGGATCCTTTTCAATTATGTGTAGCTCTGCCACCGCTGGTTGGTCAAAGTTGAATTTCGTGTTAGTTCAAGGATTCAATAATCGGAGCATCTTGTATTTATAGAGAAAGTCTTTTGCCAATTTTAGGTTTGTTTACCGTTTACCTAAAGATAGGTTTTCTTTCCAAAATATAAATTAACTATTAAAAATAACAGTGACAAGAACAGAACGAATGCTTTAATATCTCTACCCGCTTCATGATAGACGCAAATTAGGTCTAATCAACAGAGGTAAAGAGACCTTGATAATCATAACGTCAAGAACTTGCATTCGTCTTTAGTATTTTTGTGTTGACATTACTCTAGTATTTCAGATACGAGATTATTTGATTAACATAAGCTTTTATATTATGATTTTTTGGAAAATTCTTGGCTCCAACCTTGATTGGACGCAGAATCTCCAACCAGCCACGTGTCAGTTTTCTATTGGTGATTTCATCATTTTTTTAATATTTTAATTATTGATTTACTTAGCATAATTAAATATTAAGAAAAAAAAGGTGAATCCACCAATAACAAACTGACACTTTGGATTGTTGAAACTTCTGCTTCCAACCAAGGTTGGAGCTAAGATTTTTCACATATGTACAAGTTTAGACTCTAAAGGATTTCACAAAACATACCCAAAAAACAAAAATTCTCAGTGGGAATGATCGAGCATATCATACGGCACTCATGAAGGAGTTAGGATCGGGAGGTTCAGAGACAGGAACAGCCCCTTCCAACATATGAACAACTTTCTTCATTCCAGGTCTCAACGAAGGATCTTCCTGAATACACCACAATGCAACCTTCACAAATCGCTCCACTTTCTTCAAATCCTCCATTGCCTCCACATCCTTCTCCACCAGCTTGTACAACTTGCCTCTGCTGTAGCAATCATAGGCCCAGTCCACCAGTACCATCTCCTCTTCCTTGTCGAAATCCAGCAAAAAGTTCTTCCTGCAGCAGACTAGCTCCAGAAGCACAATGCCAAAGCTGTGCACATCAACTTTCGCCGTCACGGGCACATTCCTGAACCACTCCGGCGCCAAGTACCCTTTCGTCCCACGAATCGCGGTAGTGGTCCTGGTCTGATCGGCCTTCATAAGCTTGGATAATCCGAAATCCGAAATTCTGGCGATCATTCCTTCATCTAGAAGTATGTTTTGCGGCTTGATGTCGCAATGAATGATCTGAGTGCTACATTCGTCGTGAAGGTAAACCAGTCCTCTCGCGACAGAGTAAGCTATCTGGGTCCTCGTATACCAATTGGGCCTGGGAAATGCCCCTCCTCCGAACAACGAATCGGCCAACGACCCATTGCTCATGAACTCGTAAACCAGAAGCCGATGCTGCCCTTCGTTGCAGTATCCCACCAGCTTCACCAAGTTCTTGTGGTTAGTCCCGCCGATGATCTTCACCTCCGTGGCGAATTCCCTCACGTCGTGGCCATCTCTCTCAGGCAATTTGTCGAGCACCTTGACTGCAACATTTCCCCCTGATCTTTCACCAAGAACCCCTTTGTAAACCGTGCTGGAGGCACCGCTGCCGAGCACCTGCTTGAACCCTCCCGTCGCCGATTCCATCTCTCTGTACGTAAACCTCCGGAGATTCGTCGACAGAGCCGTCGCTTCATCCGAGTCATCAGCAACTTGGCTCATCATCCGATTCTTGTTCCTCCATGGACAGCTAGCTACAAGAAACAGCAAATTGACGAAAACAGAGCTGCCCAGAAGAACCCATCCCGCAGTCATCATTAGCTTCTTCGATCGATCATTCTCCTTATCCGCCGTCGAAGTCGAATTCTGCCTCCGAACTTTCAGCAGAGTCTTCCCTGTGTTCTCCTGATCCATATAACCATTCGACAGTGGCGCCCTCTTCTTCCAGCAAGACGCGCGCTCGTAAGTCACCGCATCGCACAAGCAATCGCTCAAACAGAGCTCCCGACACATGTCCTCCGAGATCGACTCGTAATACTCGTAATCCCCTGATGGGAAGATCGTATTCACCATCTCCACCAAATCGAACAGCCCTTCCTCCTTTCCCGCGGAAGAACAGTCCTGCGGTGGAAAGGTCTTGAGACATCCCCTGCTCTCGTCGGAATTGTCCAAGAACTTGTACCCTTGTGGGCATTTGCATTTGGGGAACTGGGCATCCTCGATCTGGCAGTAACTGTTGAACCCGCAAGCCCCGCTGCCGGTGTTGTCTCGCATCAGGCCGCAGATGTTGTCCTCCGGCATGAAACTGAGCGTCGTCCACTCCGCCGGCCATCTCCTGCCGGCGGAAGGACTGCTCTGTTTTGGGTAGGCGTACAGCCGAATGACGCCGTCGTGGTCGATTGTCAGCCTCTGGTGTAGGTCTTGGGTCGGTTCTTTGTTCGTGAACAGGTAGAGGAGGATCGTTCCGTTGGCGGAGGAGAGGAAGACGTTGCCGGATTTGTTGAAATTGACGGAGTTTCCGGCGATATTGCCCGCCCAGTACGGGAAGTTGCTGCCTGTTTGTGGGTAGAAAGTCGTGTAGGCGACCAGGTTGCCGTCGTTTTGGAGTGTGAACTTGAATCTCCCGGTGGAGTAGTTCGTCGACGAATATTTCGATATCAATTCGGTACCTTCAAGTTCGTGCAAAATTAAGATTTTAGGGAGTAAAATTAACAAAAATGTTTGCAATGTGAATGGTAAATGTTTTTGGTCTATTCAAGAAACTAAAACAATATCAGGATTCATTTCCGTAATAACAATGAACTTACGAACGAAAACTCAAATCCAACCTATTAAAAATGAAATCTATCATGTAATGAATTCGATATCACCAAATTAATTAAAAAAAAAATTGTACCTCTTTTCACAATCTGGGTAGGTAATATCGTATCGGTTGGCTGATCGAAACTTCCCCATAAAACAGCAGCATTTCGATTGGCGAGTACGAAGTTTCCGGTGTCGAATAGGGCACCGTATGAAACTCCGGCCCCAACTCCGTTCGGGCCCCAAATCTGCCGACCCGACGGGTCGGCCAGCATCAAGCTGCCGTCCTTGGTGAGCTTGACGGTCGACCCGGAGGAGACCAACTCGTTCCGGTTGGCTGACCACACGATGGTTTTTTGTGCGATTTTGTTGTACCAAATGGCTAGGAGGAAGCCGTTGGCGCTGCTGCCGGCGACTTGTTGGAACCCAAAGGCGAATTCCCCCGACGGGGAGAGCCAGTAGTCCTTGGATGCGGCGCCGGCGGTGAGCGATGAGCCTAATGAAATGTTGCGGGGTGCAGGTTGGGAGTTGATTCTGAACAGCAGGGTGGATAGGCAGAGGATTATTAACGACGAGTAGTAGTAGTAGAATTTGGGTTGGGGAGAATAATAACTAGCCATTTGCCGGAAATGATTTTGCTCTTTGGGGAGGTTGATGCTTGCTTTGATGACTTATATAAAGCCAAATCGAATACCAGAGCTTAGCCGGCGCTAGTCCAAGGCCATATGGCTGCACTAATCTAGGCACTTAAATTAAGTGACTTAATCAATAGACTCAACCGCCATGGCCATACAAATTAAAGTATGCTAAAATAACTAACTAAGCTGACCTCTAAACAAACGACTAACTCTTAATCTTGGGAAATAGGGTTTGGTCTAGTGGTAGTGTGATACAGGTAGCAGATTCAGATAATTTAAGTAACACCTAACTATACAAATAAGGGTTTTGTCTAGTGGTATTACAATTACTATATTCAAGAATTCAGCGAGCTTCCAACAAAAAAAAAAGGGTTCGAGTCCTTGTTTCAACATTTTACACTTTTGTTTCTCTGGTCGGAGTCCGTTTTAGTCATTTTCATTTCTAGGTTTGGTTTCGGTCTTTTCGTTTAAGGTGTGGAGAAGGTGACTAATAAAATCATTCTCACAAACTCAATATAATTATTGACAAACTAGTCTTTTCTGCTTGTGGACCGACTAACACACGTCCTACGGATGGCAAATCATGTGCTTTTATTTTCTTACACCGTAGATTACTCGTTGTGTCGTTACAATTACTATCCTGCTAGCCAGTCCGACCTTCAAAGCAACTATCATTATTTTGTTTATACTTAATTATAAACATCATTAGTGAGTAATTTGTAGTTGTCAAAAAAAAAAAAAGAGTAATTTGTCAATGATTCCAAAGTGCGGTGATCGAGCATTTGTCCAAAAAACAACAAACGACTTTATAACCACTACAATATTAAGGAAGTTGAAATAATGAGTCGTGAGTCGTGAGTCGTGACCATTGTTAAGTAACAAGCCTCTAGCTGCAGGCGGCCAGCTTGGAAAAACTTTTGCTACATCGGAGCTTCGGCCGGCCAAAAATGGTGAATATAGACAAAGAGAAAGAAGAATCTGCCGAACAGGGATAATGTTCGGGCACAAAGAGTGGCAAATTGTTCACCCATAAAAAATCAACTTGTACCACATCGATTAATTACAAGGGGATTAATGGATTTATAAGGCCAGCTCAACATTAATGATTAAAAGAGCCAGTTGGGCCTAGTTGGGTTGGATTTTTGGGCCTAAGTGGCCAAACCCCTTCTTCTCTATACGATGGCCGACCCGTCTCCGTGGCCTCCATAGCCAGACGATGCCTCCACCCCTTGGTATGAAATTTGACTAAGTATGGAGACCCAACCACAAGGGGGGTCATGCATGACCTCGTCCAAGGGGGTCTCGTCCAAGGGGGTCATGCATGATCTCGTCCAAGGGGGGTCTCGTCCAAGGGGGTGAAGCATGACATCATCCCAAGGGGGTCAAGCATGATGTGATGCAAAGGGGTCATGCATGACCTCGTCCAAGGTGGTCTCGTCCAAGGGGGTCAAGCATGATGTCATGCAAAGGGGTCATCGTGCTAGACATGATGGGAAAGAAGGCGAAAATTGGCTAAGTGTTGAGACCCAACAACCAGGGGGTCAAGCACGACATCATGCAATGGGGGTCATGCATGACGTCGTCCAAGGGGGTCCTTGCACTAGGGTGTCAAGCATGATGTCGAGGTGAAAATTGGCTAAGTATGGAGATCTAACCACAACACCCTCCGAGGGGTGCCAAACGACCGGGTACCAAGCCGGGTACCAAATAGGAGGCCATCCAAAAACTAAGTATGGAAAACAAGGTGACACAACGGGGTGCCAAACGACGGGGTACCAAGCCGGCAAGGCAGGCCTGGTGCTGAGACAAAATCGGCTAACTATGGGGCAATAGGGTACCATGCCGGCAAGGCGTGCTTGGTACTAAGACATTGGATTTGGCTAAGTATAGAGCCAAAGGGGTATCAAGCTGAAAAGGCATGCTTGATACTAAAATCCATGAAAATTGGTTAAGTATGGAATCACATGGCCATAGCAAGAGGGTACCAAGTCGGCAAGGCAGGGCTTGGTACCAAGACATGAAAAGCATGAATTTGGCTAAGTATGAAGCCAACAGGGTCGGCAAGACAGGCTTGGCAGCCAAGCAAAGCGACAGGGTACCATGACCCCAAGGGGGTATCAAGCCGGGAAGACTGACTTGGTGGCTAGGCAACAGGGGGCCAAGCCAGGTACCAACTAAGACAGTCATACAGAAACTAAGTCTGGGTATCAAGCCGACAAGACGGACTTGATAGCCAAACATCACGGTATCAAGCCAAACAACCATGGATGGATCGACCAGGATGCAGAGTTGAGCCCTTATGGGGCCATATGGAGATAAATTCCCAAGACGGGCTTGGTAGCACCTTAACGGGCTTGGTAGCACCTTAACGGGGTACCCAACCGGCAGGGTGCAACTTACCAACTTGAGGAGGCTACAAAAACTAAGTATGGAGACCAAGCCACCAGGGCTGGCTTGGTAGCAAGGAGTGTCAAGTTGATTACATGAGCTTGGTAGCATGCCAGAAGGTGTCAAGCCGATGAGACGACTTGATAACAACCAACAAGTTAATGAGGAGGACTTGGTGTCATGAGGTGGTAGCAGTCGCAGGAGCGGGGAGTCGTCAAGCAGTTGAGGGTGAGATCAAGACCTCATCATGGTTTATGGAGGCTAAGGCAAGAACCTCAACCCCATCTAGTCATGACAGGGCGACAAGGCTCAACACCAACCCAACCCGGCATCGAGGCCATCAAGTACCCACCAGCCCCAAGACGGGACAAGGGCCCTCAAGGAGACGGTTACCAACTAGTCACCAAGGCGGCGACAAGGACCCCGAGGCGGTTTGGAGCAAGAGGCCAGCTAGCAGTTACCAAGGCGGTTACCAAGGCAGTTACACCTAGTGGCTATAAATAGAAGAAACGAAGAAGAAGCAAAGGTTCCACAACCAACCATTTGACACACTATGTCAAACTTTTATCTTTTCTCTGCAACTTGCCTTTTAGTTTTTCGGAGCTCTCACTGAACCTCCATAGGAGTAGAGTAACGTAGTTTGTTCCCAAAAAACCATCAAAAACATCAAACACCCTCGTTCGAACATTGTTCGGAGAGGAGTGAACCGTGTTATTAATCGTTGTTCAAGAAGTCAAGGTGCATCCATTGTGTTCAAACACCAGTTTTTCCTCGCCGGAAAACAAATTGGCACACCTGGTGGGACTCTGTGTGTTTGATTTGATGGCTCCACGACTGAGAGAACAGGAAGGTGATATTGCACCAGGAGTTGTGAAGGAGTTGGCGGCCAAGTTCAAATTTGGCCAAGCAACAGTAAGTGTTGTCGGAAACAATGGCATGATTGAGATCTTGCCACTGGCGGCGCCTTGTGTTGATGTAACCACCACTGCCATGTCACTCCGCTCAATGGTGGATGATAACTACAAGATGGTGGTGGAGAACCGTCAAGTGATGGTGGAGATCCGTCGATTGATGGAAGAGAGTTTGAATGGACTTTTTAAAAGTTCACAACAGACAAGTCTAAAACTTGCTTCTTTTAGTTCTATGTTAGATAGACGTTTGGATGAATTGCTTGAAGCAACTATAGAAAATACAAATTGCTTGGATAAGTTTAAAAAAGATTTTATAGAACCAGTGATGCGAGAAATTTCTTTACCAAAAATTGGTATAGATCCGCCACCAAGTATTGCTACTGAGTATACAAGTATCATGTTCTCCGGTGGCCGGACTACCCAGCCACGGTCAGGGAACTTACCGCCTCCGGTGACAAGTCAACTACGTCTTCAGCATAGCGGTTATAATAAAAATCTTGCTCCCACATTCACCACTCATGTAAAGCAACCGCCTGTGCCGACAGTTACTCATAAAACCGTCTCAGAGGCTAGACCATGCTTGAACGTGAGAGTTGGTGGAGGGTTAATAGCTAATATGCTACCACAAGCTTGCCCAACCTCGATGCCATCTATGCTCGAGCGTCCTGGTGGATGCAAACCGCCAGGGGGGCAGGAAGAGGTGCATGGAAGCCTACCACTTGACAAGTTGAAGATGAAGAGTCAGGCTGGGGGGCAAGTTGATGTCAAGAAAGGTGAACAAAATGGTGTGTCCAACAGAACACCATATTTGTTTTCTAAGGATGGCATGGGGGGCATATCTCCATCTCCATGCAGTGGGCAGGGGGGCATGTCATCAGACATGAAGGATGGAGTGAGTGGCAAGTCTAAGTGGGTGTTGCCTCCCCATGCCACCTATGATTTTCATAACTTTGACAACGCACAAGGAGGCAAGGCCCCTTGTAACATGCCACCCATGAAGGGTCGACAATGGGGCATATCATCAACCACAAACAATAGAAAGATACACATTCCCAAGAAGCCACAACAAACCCAAGCTACACATGCTTGTAGTAAGAATGGTAGTGTAGTTGAGTTTGGCAAAGGGGGTACGTCAAAAACCATGAACAAGGCTATGGGGGGCATGTCTCCAACCAGTGGAAAGGGGGGCATGTCACCGACAGTGAAGAAACGAGTGGAGAACAAGTCCAGGAGTGTTCATCACGCCCAACCCACTCAAAAAATTTCTAAGTATGAGATGGTGTTAAGGGATGGACGAGGAAGGAAGTCCATGCCTAAAGCCCCCCATTGCATGCCAAACATGAATGGCAAACAAGAAGGTGTGAATAAGACATCTCGACATACACCAACCAATCATGGTCATATAACGAATCAAGGGTTGTTATGTGTTAAGTGTAAAAACCATGAAGACATGGGTTTTAGAAAGAGTCAAGTTGGCCACAAGGGCGGTCGTCAGCTCTGTAAGTCCAAACACCCGTCTTCTCAACCATATGGGAAGAGTAAGCATGTGCCTAGTTGGGGTAAAATAAGACAGATGACAAATCTTGGCCCCTTTGATGAGTCGAAGGAGTTGAAAATGTCTAGTGCGCCACCCAGGACGAGGCAAACACATCAGGTTCAACATCAATCCAACATGTCTAGTAG